TTTGAAATTCAGCTAAACAATTTTTGTCATTTTTATTCAATATCAGGGTAATAAAAATCTTTCCTAAGCTTAATAGAAATGCTAAGAGGGATAGAATGCAAATAAAAATATAAGCTAACAGGAATTACAGATGCGAATATATCTTGTGTAACTTTGAAAATCATCAGAAGCATTTATAGATCAGATGAATAAACATTAGTTTTAAAAAACTCTAGAATGCCTGCTAAGGAATATAATTTGCTCAATTATTTAAGTAAATATATATTATTTGATGGTATGAAGACCAAGATTGTGTGGCCTTTGTATGGTCGCAGTCTCATTTCGCTGTGTAAAAGTTGTTTAAGCTTGTTTTCGCAACTTGGTCATATTGATAAGAAGACCTAGAGGAACGCATCTAGTCCGGAGTCTATAGTATGCATGATAATTTCCAGAGTCGATCCGTAGATATGGTAAATTCAGAGACGTTTAGCCGGCATCTTCAGTGAGCACTGCCAGTCTTAGCACCACACTACAACTCGTTAAATAGAGTAATGAAGCCGATCCTTTAACCAATTGTCTGCTAAACAATCGTGGTCTCTCCTTCCGCCCTTAGCTAATCACCGATCCTGTACCCTCGTATCACGTCTTCCCCATCACACATTTTTACTTGCTTATGGTATGGTGATATGGTGTGCCCTTTTGAGCGGATTTCATGATAACTCTCCACACCTCACACTGGCTTTTCACCGCCTTTTACCCTTGTGCTAGGAATGCTGATCAGTCTTCCATATTGTTACGCAGTCCTCCTTACACAGGTTTTATCAGTCTCGCTCTTGCCACGTAGGATCCGTCAGCTATCTCCCTGGTTCAAGTATTTTACTCTACCCCTCCCCCCCTATCTGTGCTACTCGAGGCGTTATTTCCCAAACTCTGCCTCTGATAAAATAACTTGAGGCTAAAGCCTCCGAGTAATTTTTATGGTCAAGCCTTTGCTTTATGGACCACGGGTCAACTGCTAGCCAACTAGCTCTAGTCCTGTTTATATACGTAGTAT